GCGGCTCGGCGAGAGTCCTGTGCGCCCTGGGAACCCTCGGTTTGGTCCCCAGCGGAGAGCGGGGCGCCTCCGGGGACCGGGATGAGAGGGCTGGGCGGAGGGCGACGGAGACCCTGCGGGGGCGCGAGGTCCTGCGGGATTTTTCTGGTTGGTTGTTAGAAAATCGAATGTGAAATTAACAGTGTCCAATCATCCGATCGATCACCTCGGGTGCTCTTTTTTTCTTTCTTTACCTTTGGGGAAATGCACAATTCAGGTGGGGACGGTGTAAAAACTGGATTGCCAAAAACGCATACCTTGAGCATCTGAGGTGTCTGTGTGTCAGGGGGGTGGTGGGGGTCTCTTTTGTTCCTTCCCCTCTTAGTCGAAGGAAAAGGAGTTCGTTTGTGCAGGGCTTGGGGTAGAGTCACAGCCACCGAGGGGGCGAGGAGCAGGAACGCCCACCCAACCCCTAGCCGCTGCCGGGGTGGGTGTACCCGAGACTCCCTTCCTGTGGGTGATGATGATTCTTTTCATTATCGATGGAATCACAGTTTAATAGCTGCCTCCTCGGTAGCCTCCCTCTTCCTCGCCTCTCCTTGTGCTGCGGCAGAGGCTGGGTGCAGGCACTCGGCGGTTGCCTCCCCTTGCTACCTTCCTGTCTCCGTGAAAAATGTCGGAGGACTGAAGGATGGCGGAGGGACAGAGCTGGCCTCGGAAGCCGCGGATGCGGAGATGCTCCTCGCGAGCGGGAGGCTGCTGGCAGCGCGTCCGGGGCAGCCCGCGCCATCCTCAAGAGTCACCCAGCTGGTGGAAACAGAGCAGGGGTCTCCCGGCCAAAAAGATGCCCGCCATGCGGGGACCCGCCCTGCGCCCTCCGCCTCCATCCGGAGCCCGGACACTGGCTCACCTGGGACAATCTTAGTCTCTCTGGCGAGGCTGCCCTTGGCTCTTGGCATAGTTTTCCTAACCTCCCTGACCCTTTGATAAATGTTTCCTTCTTTAAGAGTCACTGGAAGGTTTGTCTAGAGAACTTTGAAAGCTTCCCATAGCTGTTTCATTTTTTTAAAAATTGTTTTACAGCGAGGTTATTTCCATCATGGGATGGCTATCGCAAATAATAAAGAGAAATCTTATAGTTTGGTTCCTATTTAGAATAAGCATTTCTAAGACTGGCTGTCATCTGCATTTCCGGCGTTCATACATACTGGTGTTCCGGGTGATGAACCCTTCTGAAAATCATATAATTGGAGAAATGAGAAACAATTTTTCCTCTTGTAATGGAAAATAAGGTTTTCCTCCTGGTTTCATAGCTGCTAGGCACTATGTGTATTAAATAATTTTGAAAACTGTGAAACACTATAATTAAATTTTATTTGTTTCTAAAGTCCTTTGTAGTAATAGTAGCAGGTATCCATGAAATGTACATTATAGCACTAATATCTAATGAAAAGGTGGTTTGTGCTCATTAATTCAAAGGAATGAGCCGTTTGACCTCCTCTAGTTAAGTTACTGTCATCGAGCGATTTTTTCTGTTAGCATTAACTAAAACAGTAATTAATACACCAATGGGAGAGTAGACTTATCACTATTTTTATAATCTTAAAAACTGTATTTAGAGAAACCACGGGGAGTAGTTTATTTGCAAATTTTGGAGATGAGAAAACAAGTGTTTATTACTATAAAAACATTGGATGGGATCATTAAATAAGATGAATCTCCATGGCAGTGACACCTGATCTCAGAACCATGGGCTCTCATCCTTCATCCTGAATTTCTAGTCTGAAATATTATGAAAACCACTTGATTTACAGAACAAACAACATAAGGTGTTGTGCCAGTTTCTACCCTTTTTGATCTGGTTCCTTAGCTGTTCTTTGGTATTTTGTCGCCAAGAACGAAGTTAACGAGAAGTTATTTGCTGTTCCTGTTTAATTCTTAAGGCGTTCACCTTTTCCTTCTCAAATAAATAGCTCTTTGCTTTTAGGGTCCTAATTTATTTAATGATGTTGAAAGTATGTCATTATCATCTGTATAAGCTGAATAAAAGATAATAATAATAATAATAATAATAATAATAGAATAATAATAATAATAGAATAATAATAATAATATAACATCCCTTAACATTTCCTACCACTAGGTCCAGGGGGTTTGTAGAAAAGGGAATACACAGACACACACACACACACGCACACACACACACACACACCCTCTTCTTATCCATTTGACCATTTGACCTTATTGTGACAGCCAAATCTAAATCTGAATTGATAACAATTCTGGTTAACACATAGACTAGAGGGTAAGAAAGCATTCACCTACTAATCTACAGTTGTAGAAAAAATGGCCTTCGTGTTAGAAGTCAGTTTGCTGAAAGATATGGGCTCTTCTGGAAGAGTGGAAGGTGGGCATGGACAAAGAGATATGGAGCCAAGAGGGATGGAAATCCATCTAGTTGTATTTCTGCCGAGAGCTTTTTCCTATAGTCCAGCTCTGCTTACTTACCAGTAGAGATATCGCACCACCCGGAAGTGCGGATGAAAAGGCCACTGAACACCTAGTGGATGCGAATAACACTATGTGATGTTGAAAAGCATTTATTTCATAATTACTACAGTTAGCATTTAAGTGTGAATTCATTGTAGAGGCTTAAAATTGCGTGACATTTCCAGAGGGGTGTCTGGGGTCCTCAGAAATATTATAAATTCTTATCGAAAGCCTAAAAAATAAAGCATTCCTTTAATGTAGCCAGGACTTTCAGTGTGAGATGAATACATACTCTTACCCTCCCTGTCTCTTCCCATCTCCACTTACCCCTCAAAGACTTTCCTAATATCCAAAGAAAGTCATTTAGATTCCCGCCATTGTGCCAACACCTAGCACAATATATAGCAAAAGGCAGGGGTTAAATATTTCTTAAATGAATAAACTTTGCACAGTTGACATGGCTCACAAAAGTCTCCCATGATTTAGGATTACATTTTTTAAGAGTGCTCATAATTATTACCGAATACACTAGTTTAATAGACTAAAGGTCCTACGTCTTTTGAGGAAGCAGTTTTTAGAACTGTCGCTTTGTGAATATGCATATTTATAGTATAACATTACTATTATTGATTTTTATAAATATAACTTGTTTTTAACAAATTTATATGTGTTATAAATTGTAAAAGCACTATATGCTCATTTTAGTTCCCCTAGAACCGATAAAAATGTATAAAACAGAAAGTGTAAATTACCTGTGGGAAAGCATGGGTATGAGGAACATGAGCTTTGGATTAAGCCGACCTTTGCTTGTGTCCTGGTCCCTCCATTTCACCACAATCAGGTTACTTATCTGCTCTGAGCCTCAGTTTCCTCAGATATACAACAAGGATAAAGACCCACCTCCTAAGATGTCTGCAAGTAGAAATATAATGCAATGTATATAAAATGCTGAACATGCGCCTAGCACAGACTGAGCACTTATTATTACCCCACTGCCTAAAGAACTGCTTTTGAAAATACTGGAGAGTTTATCACCAGTTCATTTTCTATGCATAAATAGACTTTTTTTTTTTTTAAGAATGAGAACTTCAAACTTGCTTTTTAAAATATTAATATTACTTTGCTGATTTTCCCCAAGAAATTAAAATTGGTATTTTAATATAATTCAGTGACTGCAAGACAATTCACCTTATTGAGCTATTCTTTTATTTTTGGATGTTTATTTTATTTCCACTATTTTACTGTGTCAACCAATGTACATCCTTATGCCTGGCTTCTGACTGCATACCTGTATTGAAAGGAAATATGGAAGTCGATGGAGGTCTTAGGGCATTTACTGAAATTTTTTCATCATAATGAAATCAATTTTGTTGAATTCAAAAACCATGTCGGATTAAGATCATATCTAAGCTGTAGGTAAAATAAATATTTAAAAGGTGAGAATTTAACTTAGTCTCTTAATGAGTTCTGTATCTTTAGTGCGTCACATGATTTAGTGCTCTTGTTAACTCCTGATTTTGACTATCTGAGTTTACGACTTTTGATGGTTTTGGTTTCAAAAGCTTAAATATTTAGCATTGAAAATGCTATTAAAGTACCTTAGAGATTGAATTACTAGAAAGTGTAAAATTTTGTAATTATTGCTGGTTTCAGTTTATCAAATATGTAAAACTCTCCATTATTCAGAATCAATGAATCTGGAATTTATAATGATGGGAGGCCCCAACAGGAGAAGCAGTGAGTTGTGGTGGAACATAAAATCTCATTCAAATAGAACCGGACTTGAATTCTTGCTCTATTATTCACTATATGTGTAGGCCTTTTCATTAAATTATATAAATGCTTCATACTTGACATTCTAGCAAGAGTAATAAACATCTAAGATCTCTCAATTTCTTCAGCTTTGTATTTGAGGTTTTTAAAAAAATCTCTATCAATAAACATAATTTTATTATAGATAATGAATGTGTTTCACAAAGCAAATATTTACTTCCTTGTATTAGGTCACAGGCTTTTCACGGTACTGCTGATTGGCTATTGAAATACAAAGGTTATAATTCAAGAGCTATGGCATAACTATAAAACAGATACAACCCGAGAGAAAATATGACATAAATGAAACGAGCAGGTAAATGTTTATCTCATTTCCTCAATTATCTTGGGTCTTCCCAATGGTACAGTGAATTAAATCTAATGAAAACTTTTTTGTGAAAGTTGACGGTACTG